ACACACACACACACACACACACACACACTTTTGTTTCTTGACCCCGTGGGGACCTTCCATTGACTTCCATTCATGTTTTTCAGACTTTACATCCTAACCCTGACCATATACTCTAAAGTTAACCTCACAGGTACCTACCTGACCCTAAAACTAACCTAAACCTTGGTCCTAAACCTAACCCCACACCCGTAATTTGCAATTGGACCCATGGGGACCTGGCATTGGTCCCCACGATGCACTTCGGTCCYCATGAGGATGCTTTTTTTGGGTAAAATTGTCCCCACATTGTAGGAAAAACCCGTCCACACACACACACACAATCTCCAACCACATACACAGATATTTTGTTTTAAAACTCATTTCAGTTTATTTTTCACCACAAAATGTTCTTTAACATTTGAACTAATTAAAGAAAACTGAAAAAATAGATTACAAGAAATTACAACCTCTTAAAAAACATCTTAACAGTAATTATTTAAGTAATGTAATTATGTAATGTTTTTTTTAACTTTGTGAAAATATTCAACATTGCTTCAATAAAAAAAAAAAAGTCTTTATGTGCAAAGTGGGTTTTTAAACATGAACACCATGAGAGGAAAAAAATAAAGGTTTGTTGATTAAGAATAAATCTCCATCAAAAACCTGTCCATTATGTTAATAAGAGCATTCCCCACTCCACCTCCCCTCCATTCAGTCAAGCCACGCCCCACCTGCAATGGCACTGCGCCCCCCGCGCCCCACACTTTGGGAACCACTGGGTTAACTGATGACTCTAAATTAGCCCTATGTATGTGCATATCTTTGTATTGGTGTGTGGACATATTTTGACRTTGCCCTATGCTTATGAGGACATTTTGTGGACATTTGCTTGGTGCACACTATTGAAACAAAAATAATTGTAGGGCTAAGGTATGAATTAAGTTTAGGTTAGGATTGGGTATATACTGTGAGGTTAGGGATTAGGCTGTAGAAATGAATGGAAATCAAAGCAAAATCCACACAAGTATATAAAGACAAGCTTGTGTGCATGCATGAATGCTCATCTCAGTGTGGTCCGATGAAGGACTAGCAGTCTGTTCAAGGCAAACCCTGCCTGTCTCTCGTTCAACTTTCATAGGCCGCTCCTCAAGCAGCCCACAAAACCCCGAAAACCTAGGCTGCATCGGACTATCATACACGTCAGATGATATCCCAATCAAAAATTAAACAGAGTGTTTTTTTTTTTAATGGGAAGATTGGAAATGCATCACGGACCCAAGAATTAAGTTTGTAAATGTATTTTTAGCATCTTAGTTGAGGAAATTCTTGCTGCAATGAGATGTTAAATAAAATGCAACTACAAGTACTGATACTGGAGCTGAACTCGAATTCTTTATTTCTTTTTATTCATTTATGTGTAACGTTTTTTAATACATTGAATTTCGTGAAGTTCTACCTCCTGTGAAAAGCTGTGTGAATACATGCTCCATGTGGAAGACTATTGCTGCGTTCACACCGAACGCGATTTCAGCTTCAAAATCGCAGCCAACGCTGAAGTTTGAAGCTCGTGCACTTTGAGGTCAGACGCAGGACAGCTCTTGAAGCGCTGCACGTGAAGAGCCTCCCCGCCACCTCCCTCCTCTGTCAGGCTCTGTTTAATGTCGGACGAGGAAGTGGCTTTGCTTTATTTACAGAGAGTAAGAGCATGTCTCGTTCATCAGATAATTAATTCATAATTAGTTCACCAGATAATTCAGAGTAGAGGCTCACAGCTCGCTTTCAGGACTATTTTTCCAGTCTGACGAGTCGCTGCCACGCATTGGTGCGGATCAGGACACCGACTGCAGGCACTGGATTTCAGCTAAAGAGCTCCTCTCCATCTGTTTCAGGTTAGTGGACATCATTCAGTAAACTGTCCCGTCGGGAAATATGTCGCTACGTCACACAGTGGAGTCTCTCTGATTGGTTGACGCGGCGCGTCGAGCTGCAAAAGTTCAGATTTTCTAACTTCAGCGATTTGCGCCTCAACGCRTCKAACGCTCAGATCGTTCAAATCGCGCTGCTCTAATCACGCTTGACGCGCCGCAGCATTTCCCGACGTTGCTTGAAGCGCGTCCACCTAGACTTCGCATGTAAACCTGCTGCTCCTGATGCTGAAATCACGTTTGGTGTGAACGCACCATAAGGCTGTGTCCAAAACGGCGAGGCCGGGTCCTCTGAAGGCCGAAGTCGTCGGCCGCTTACGTCACAGCACCGCGACGGAGGTCGTCCCAAACCGAAGACTCCTCCGATGCGGCCGACAAATACGTCCTTCCTTTTCCCCGATTTGAAGGACAGGTCTGATGGATCCGTCCCGGCCCAGCGTATCCCATAACGCATTGCGGCCCGACCGGAGATTTTTATGCTAGTAATGGCGGATGAAGCGAGAGAAAAGAATACGTTTTAGATAAAAAATATGGCGATATATTAAAAATTTCAAGCGGTTGTAATTTTAATACTTTTATCATTAGTATAGATGTGTKTTTAAATTTTATTTTTGTCAGAAAAAAAACCGAACTTATATAGCGAAATACACATGCACCTACGGCGGGTCCATTACTTCTTCGAGATAATTTTATTGTTTTGTGATATTAATAACGCTAACAAATTGATATTTTTCTAATTTTGCTACTTTTTTAAGGTCTTCCCGGTCTACCAAGGACCCGGCCCACCTCGACCGGGTAGGCTGTGTCCTTCGGAGGACCCGGCCTGCCATTTTGGACACAGCGTAGGACCATCTCACTTCACAGCCATTTTATGCCACCTACCCAGACTGTGTAGGGTATGGCCTACGTAGGCCGTGGTCTATGTGAGCTGCAGCCCCTGAATTAAGACACGGCCCTCAGCACCAGCTCAAAGCCAATGTAGGGAATTGATGGATTAATAACAGGACCTAGTACTTATCAGGTGGAGCCACTCTCTAAAGACCTTTGGTAATAAGTCAAAAATAATCATATTTGGGGAACATTTCCACAACTTGCCCCATCATACCCCTATCTAGCTCCAGAAACAAGAGCAAAACAGGTTCATGTTCTTACCTTGACGGTCTTCTTGGCATATTTCTCCAAAGCAACTCCCTGGCTTTTAAAGATGGCCACGTTGGCTTTGAGCAGGTCCTTCCTCTCCATCCCCTCCTTCCTGGGCATTGAGCCCACCAGGATGGCCACATCGAGGTCCTTAAATGCCACCTCCTCCTTGTCTGTGGGAATAATTTCTGTGGAAAGTGCAAAAGTGCAGCTTCTTGAATTTTATTTTGCTTTTACGCAATAAACCCTTAAAATCGTAGGATAAGATTTTACATTTTTGGCATTAAAGATTTAAACTTTTATCCAGTTTATATGAAATATAATTTGGTATGTTAAGCCGTAGCTCGTACACAGATGTGATACTGAGAACTGCATTTGGGACRCATCTCATGCACAGCCAGCAGTGTATCTGACCCATCTCAGAGCGTGAAGTGCTGTCTTTGCACTGCAGTTGGGTTAATACGGGGGCCTCTCAGCCTCTGCTCAAACAAAGCAATCGACTACATGCTTTCATAGAAGAAACAAACCCAGGTCACAATGGACACCGCACATCATGTTGGCTCATGACAGGAGTTGATGACACAAAGCTACTAGAAATAAAGATCYAAGTGTGTTTATCAATAACCTCAAATAGGAAAGAAGTCTTAATTATGTGTTTTATTGGGAGAAGGAAAAATATTTGGTTTAATCAACAAAACTGATCTGAAACATTAACAGATAGCTTTAAATATAACGTTAAATATGAACTAAACTTATGGTTGCAACTTTTCTTCAGTGCATAATCAGTAACTTTAAGTAACTTTACTGCATCTAAATGTTTTGCTTGGATAATTACTTAAAAGCTCCAAATAACACCGAGCTTGGGCACATGAGATCAGATTAATTAATATCCAAGTAAAAGGAAAAACAGAACAAAACATCATTTTAAAAGTAGAGATCTATGCTTTATAAAGATGTAAAGCTCTTATAAAAGGTTTTAACTGCAGTACATCCTTGTTAGTGGTGCTGCTCAAACAAGTTAGAGCTGACAGAAAGCTGGACATTTGTCTTAAGCCTTTATGTCATGTGATATTTATTAGTGACAAGACCCCCAAACACCCCTCATAGTGTCAGCAATGGTAGGAGGTCAAAATAAGGGTCAAATAATGACAAAAGAGCCAGACTTCATAATTATTTGTTCTTTTGAGCCAGAAATTCACATTAGTTTCATGTTTTTATCATGTCGGTAAAATGGTAGAACAGTTTTGTGGTCCCAATCTTAATTGTTTACCTTTCAGAAGTGGGAGGGCACAGTCCTGCAGTTCCATTACAACACCTTCCAGAACYGGCAACATGGGTGCGATGTCTAAAAGGAGCAAGACAACTTGCTGGCAGAAAAAAGAAAGAAAGAAAGATGTAAAGCATCCTCATTTTCAGACAATAACTCTCCATATCTGGTTGCTCGTGGGACAAAATGTGAAAGCCTAAACCATAAAGCTCACTGACACTTGCATGTGCCAGATGGATCAAGTAGTTTTAAACGTGGGCTAAGTCTCTTGGCACAAGGTCCATCTCACTGACTTCAAGGACAATCCTGGCTTGCCCAGGGCCACTTCGGACGAGCGAGTGCAATCTGATCAACTTCCACATGGACAGGACCACTCCTTCGAAAATACGGTGTGGGACATTTTTGACATTCACAGCTGTTTTCTGGTGCCTTTAGGACCCCATCTTTAAAACTACCCAATGAAATAAAGGTGTGTGTGCTGTGAGAGTAAGATAAAAATATATTTTTTTACCTGATCACTGCCAAAGACATCTCCTTTGGCAATGCTCAACAAGAGGGAATAGGCAATCTGCCCTGCAGCACCGGTCACCAGAACTCTAATAGGCTCAGACTGCAAGATAGAAAGAAAAATATTCATGTTTTTACAGTTAATGTCATGCAGAAGCTAATTTTACCAATGCACTTTGGGTAGGTGTCTATTTTTTGTCAACAGGATTTACTAGAGCAGGAGGGGTCATGTTAAAAATAAACCCCTTTGACCTCTATTAGGAGCTCACTGTTACGTCACAAAAACAGGACAAATTTGGGTCATCAGCTGATCGCCATCTCTAGCATTCATTTAACCCCTCCGCCTCCTAATCATCGTGATGTTTTAAGATAATTATGTGCGCAAAATGACCGAATTCGTAAAAAAAAAAATAAGCATTTCAATTGTTCAGTATTAATGTGARGACTGTAAAGGTTAATTTATTTGTATACCCAATCTAAACAAACGTCCTGTGACTTTTTAACTACTTAATTTTCAGTTGACAACTTCAAAAGCTATTCACATGGCTTTATAAGACCCGAATTACAGCTCTAACAGTCTACTCACCATCTTGACACAACAGCTCATCCCCCACTTCTGCCTTCCGCTTTCTGGTCGCTCGTATTTAACGCTCGGGTCATCACGACACTTTTAACGGCCGTACGGCAATTTAGCCCTGCAGAAAATTGTTGTTTAAAACAGGAGAACAAAATGCAAGTCGTTTCAAAAGCACATTTGGGTAGTATTCAATAAAAACAATTCGCTTGGTGGATACATGCTTAGCTGCAATAGACAGAGATGCATAAATTCGAGGTCATTCCCATTTAAGTCGTCCGGTCATCACGACACTTGCTACAATCACATGGCAAGTTTGGAATTCTGGGATTTGTAGTTTTTAACAGAAAAGCTTTGACTTGTCTCAAAAAGAAATTCATAGTACATAATAGAAACGTTTCTTTTGGTGGAAATACGCTTAGCTTCACTAAACAAGGGTTTTTACGTGATATTGATTTCTAAATAAATAATTAGTTGATTTTACAGCATCGCTTATTAGTTATTAGCTGCTTTGCGTCAGTCCTAAAGTATCGCTTCGGGTTGCTTAGCAACATAGCACCAAATGAGCAGCTAGCTGGTAGCATGAATATTTGTCGCTTAGCTTCTTGTCAGAGAAATGTGGAGAACATCGATTTGTGCAGATTAGCATAACAACGATATGAACATAACTTGCCTGTATGTTGGATTAACCTTTCTTTTTCAGTGAAAGACGGTGAAGTTAGGCTAAAGTAGCRTTGTGTCAGAGAGCATGTTACCTAAACTATAATATAAGGACATCAACTCCATAAACTAGTTTTTCATTCCCCGTCAAGAAGATAATTAAGGTAAGATGTGTTGAACTTCTGCTCTTTCATTGCTCTGTTAGTATAATTGATCAATTGGAAGTTTTATTTATTTAGTGCCTAAAGTCAAACACATGAAGAAGGCTTTTTGAGTTTTTGATGCTGGGACTCTCCAGCTTTTTTATGTAATTCATAGTTTGTGTAGTGATGAGTGTGTTTAGGATTATACTGGACAGTTTGGTCATGCAGGGCTAGAGCTCAGCTGTTTTATGCAGAACAACCAGGCACAACAAAAGTTCTCCTCCTAATAGTCCAAATGCAGAGGTGTCAAGTAACTGAGTACAAATACTTTGCTACTTGGTTATTTATAATTTAGTGGAGTTATTATTTTTCAGCCTACTTTTTACTTGTACTCCTTACATTTTAATTCAGTTATCTGTACTTTCTACTTGTGTTTTAAAAATGCAAAAAGTATTTCATTTTATATTTAACTTTGGCTTGTTTTTATTCCATCTTTTCATTGTTCAATCAATCAATCAATCAATAAATAAATAACTATTGTTGGAGGAGAAGTGTAAATATACAGTATAGCTACCATTCTGACTAGGGCTGTGTATTGGCAAGAATTTGGCGATACGATACATATCATGACAGAGGGGTCATGATATGATATATCCCGATATATTGCGATACTGTAAGCAAGGCGATATATTGTGATATATTGCGATATATTGCGATTTATTTTGGTCCAAAAATTCTGTTAAATAAAAACCTCTTACTGGAAAAAAAAATGAAAAACCAAAATTCATTGTCTCATAAAATTCTATTACAGACATGTGCTAGCCTTCTGTAACGTGAAAGCTGACTAAAGTTGGAAAAAAGAGCGCACAAGACACTTAATTTGGCTTAAAATACAGACATTCTGACAAATAAGTAACTGTTTGTAACCTTACCTCAGCTTAGAAGGCAGAGGGTGTCGGTCTTTTCCGCTCAGATTCAACTATCAGAGCATGAAGCTAATGTTTACTTACAATGCTAATGCTCTCTTACTCTCTGGCACTCAAGAGGTAGAGGAGCCAAATGGCTGGCTCACTGCTGCCAACTAGTGGTCAGAGGCAGAACTACAAAATAAAAATGAACGGCTAGCAGGAAAGTTGACATTTTAAACCTTAATTAAAAATCGATACAGGGCTTTAGAATATCGATATAGTATCGGGAAATGAAATATCGCGATATTTCAGTGTATCGATATTTTCTTACACCCCTAATTCTGACACCCTATTGGTTTGAACGCTCTCCATCACACAAATCACATCACATTCCAGCAGGACATACTGTAGCAGATGCATGTAAGCTTTTATCCTGGCTTTTTTTTAACTGTTCATTACTTTTACGTTTATACTTTTAAGTAGTTTTAAAACCAGGACTTTTATACTTTTACTTGAGTGAAAAGCTCGATTTGATACTTCTCCTTCCAAAAAATGTATTTTAAACCTTAGTATCTATACTTCTACTTAAGTAATGACTGTAAATCCTTTTGACACCTCTGTCCAAATGTGTGATAAGGGGGTCCATAACCGAAAAGGTTTGAGAACCACTGTCTTGTACTAATATATAACGATTCTCTGCTGTTTTGTTTTTAAAAGCAATAACACAAAACCAACATGAACTCAATTCATCCTTGCCTCCTGCGTCCTCACCTGCCAGTGACAGGAACCAACATGGATGCTTCTTTTCTCAAAAGTCTCTGTGTTTGAAAGCATATTTTATGGCTGTTTAAAGCAGCTGCTGTTTTTTTTCCTGTTTCAGTTTTGTTTTTATCCCACTGTGCAAAAAAACAAAAAACAAAAAAAAAACACTTGTTTTCATGGGTGTTGGTAAAAGACAAACAGCTACTTGTGGCCCTCTGCTGCTGTGTGGTCTCATTGTGTGTCCCAGATTATTTTCAGAAACACTGAAATAGGCCAAATGTTCAATGATCTGCTTCTTTTAACAGTATTTAGCTTTGTTGAAACATTTATCTCTTAAGTTTGGAGCACATCACACATAAAAAACCATGTCTGAAATGGGTAAACTATTTCAACAAGTCAGTCGTTTATATAAGCAGAGAGCTCACCTTCTCAAAAGCATCTTCCATTTGCATTCACAGTTTTCTTTATCTGTCTACCTCATTTGTTGGGAACWAATGGGATAAAGATCCCAAACAAACAGTTGAAAATAAATTCAGTTTAAAAAAATTGTAGGTACATTTAACATTTAGGCAAGTTGCCTTCACAAACATGGGTGACAAGTCCGTCACAAACTAGGGTTGGGCAATATTGGCAAATAAATTTATCACGATTAATTGTGGTATTTAGCCTATAACAATTAATTTGACGATTAATCCCCTGGAGTCCCTGGACACCCTCATGTCCTAGTCGCATGACCAATTTAGTGGGAAAGATTTGCTCTTCATAAAAATCTGTTCCAAATTGTCAAAATTACAGACTTCAGGCTATACATCACATTTTAAATTGTGTTGATAGATAAATAAATTACAGAACTTTCTTTTTAATGTTCGTCATATTTGAAGCTGAGAGGAGCAGCAAGCGGACTGACTGGTGGCATTAATTCTATTAATCGTCAAGTGCCAAAAAGTAATCGATTAATGTTTTTCTGAYGATTAATTGCACACGATACGATTATGCCCAACCCTATCACAAACACAACGAAACTGTTGATTAAAAACTGGCTGACTTTGGCTTAGAATTACCAGTTGGCCAAAAATACATTCCCACATGAAAAGAAAATGTCTTAATTAGCTGTCAAGGCAAAACGTTTTCTGTAAAAATCACACCAATTGTCAGCAAGAAACTGATGTTTTTGTAACTATTTTGTTATTTAGAATATTTCTTCCTCCTTAAATTTAAGGTCATTCCCTTTTTATAGACAGATTTAATCATTTTTTGGTTTTGTTTTTCAAACTATTTAGTGTCAATAATAATATAATAAATATAATAATGTATTTGGTGATTTTCAATGAACAAATCATGTTCAACATCATCACCTTTTAGATTTAGTAAAAAAATACGTGATGGCTGTGACTGTGCACATTTGAAAGAATCTATTGTTGCTGTGACTTTTTCAACACGCCAGACTTGGGTGTTTATTTTTGTCTCTGACATCTCCACAGTCGGGTTGACATGAGGGGATTAGGCGCACTTTGTGTTTTGCAGAAAGGAAATCGGAATGAAAGTAGAAACAGAAGCGGGACACACGATAATATCTGGTGCCAGTTTTACACGCCAGCCTGATCCTCTGTGTGCGAGTGCTGTGAAAACAAGCAGCGGTGGGTGGTTTTTTTTGTGTCCCACACAGTAGGTGAAACCTGGAGCCCCATGCACAGAAGCAAAGGGATGAGGCAACGTTCACAAGTGCACAAATAGCCACACACATTTGCACAAATAAACTATTGGATTGTGGAGTGCAGAGGTGTAAATAGCTCAGTGGTTTTTACACTCTACACTTTTTTTATGCTCTGGCCTGTGAAGGTGCTGAAAAGTGAGCAGCACCTATCGCCTCCCTTTTTTTTTGTTTGTTTCTTTATCACTTCACCATGCCTCTTTTCTCCTATGTTATCTCCTCATGTTCTGCTCCGGCTCATGTCCCTGCAGAGTGCACCTGAGAGTGACCCTGTTACGTTGAGGATGGGAGGCAGATAGAGCCAGCAAACCCTCCGGCCTCCGTATTATCCGGCTTATCTGTCTTTCTAGACCAAATAGGCCTCATTCAGTCCCAGTAAATTCAATGAGAAGGTTAGCTCTATTCTAAAGAGCAAGTCACAAATGTGTCATATTCACCACTATCTCCCATCATGCTCTCTGTCTGTTATCCCCGTGACACCACCTTATTTAGTTTTTGACATATCTGTGTTTTAACCTTAGATGGTTAGGATGATTTTTTTTTTATTTCTTATCTACATTTTAATGCTGACAGGTGTGTAAAATGAACCCACATGGCCCCACCTTGTCATTTTATTATGATTTGCAGTAGCCGTCTTAAAGCACTAGGTGTCAGTGTAAAGTCATTGACAAGGAGTCACAGAGTGTGGATGGATTTTCTTGCGCTTGTTGCCACAGCAGAAGCCTCGCCTTTGAGATATGGGATTATGACTGGACAGATGTCAGTTCATAGTTTTGTAATGAAATTTGACAGCTATGTTAAATCACAGTATTTTCAACACCTTTTCTGCTTTGTTTGACGAAAATAACTGTGGTTTAGTCAGTAACGAGTCACTCTGCTCTGTTGAGTCAGCTAAAAGCATGACGAATATCTTCATCAGACATGGGAAGATGTTCATGCTACAATCGTCATAAAAATATCGAAATAAATCCTTTTCTTTCAGTGACATATTCCTTGAAGGACCACTTACCTCCCATTGTTTTCCATGGCTGAATGCTGGCTTAGATCTCCTGTGAAATCTGTCGGTTCGTTGAATATGTTTTGTTGACAACTCTAAGCTACTACCACACCAAACTGTAGCACAACATCTATAGAGKTGACTAAGTTAATGGCATTTACAGTATGTTGTTCCTAAAGTTGACAAGGTGTATCTAAAATTGGGTCGATTACAAAAGTTAATACGCTGTAGATGTACATCCATTCTTTACCTCAAACAACTTAAAACGTGTCACCAGTAGGGTTGGGCAAAATTGTATCATGTGCAATTAATCATCAGAAAAACTTTAATCAATAATTTTTTGGCACTTGCCAGGCAGACTAAGAGATTTCCCCGGTCAATCCGCTCGATGCTCCTCTCTGCTTCAAATATGGCAAGCATTAATAAAAAAGTTCAGCACTTTATTTATCATAACTCCAGTTTTACTTGGTCTATCAACACAATTAAAAAACTGATGTATAGCCTAAAGTCAGCACYTTTGACACAATTTGGAAGAGATTTTTACTGAGAGCAAATCTTTAGTGATTTAAATTGGTCATGTGACTCCAGGGGATTAATTGTCATATTGATCGTTATCAGCTAAATACCACAGTTAATCGTGGTA